CTTTTACCAAGATGCCAGCTCAGTGTTTTAAATTATCCAGGCCAATAGGGATTCTTTAAAAAGAGTGGCATTTGGAAAGTCTCCAAGTGCTGAAAGGAACACCTAAAGTCTTGGAAATGCTGCAACACAGCGAACCATTACCAGACCTCTGATCTCAAAGCTGGTCACTTGTTTTATTGAAAAGGCATGTTGTTCCTCCCCAAGGCATCCAACAAAGACTGAATGCTCATGTACCACTATACTAAGCTGGCTAAAGATGAATGAATGATTGGCCTTTGGGGGCTGATTTTTAAAGTTTCAGAATGAGACAGAGATGTTGGTTGTGCACCACTGTGAATGTGCTACAAGCCAATAAATTATGCACTTTAAAATTACTGAGCTGATTAACAAAGGACAAAAACCACAGGATCATATTAACAGGTGTAGAAAAAGTACTTAACAAAATTCAACAGCCTTTCATAATAAAAAGTCCTCAACACGGCCGGGCATGGTGGCTCATGCCTGTAATCCCAGCACTTTGGGAGGCCAAGATGGGTGGATCACCTGAGGTCGGGAGTTCAAGACCAGCCTAACCAACATGGCAAAACCCCATGTCTACTAAAAATACAAAATTAGCCAGGCATGGTGGCGCATGCCTGTGATCCCAGCTAGTCCAGAGACTGAGGCAGGAGAATCGCTTGAACCCAGGTTGTGGAGAGCCAAGATCGCGTCATTGCACTCCGGCCTGGACAACAGAGCAAAACGCTGTCTCAAAAAAAAAAAAAAAGAACTCAACGTATTAGGTGTAGAATAAATGTACCTCCACACAAAGGCTATATATGACAACACATAGCTAACATCACTGGTGAAAATTTTCACATCAATGGTTAAAAGCTGAAAGCTATTCTTCTAACATCAGGAACAAAACAAGAATGGCCATGCTCACTGATTCTTTTTTTTTTTTAACGTCTGTACTACACAAAATGATCTGCAGATTCAATGCAATCCCTATCAAAACTTCAATGACATTTTTCACAGAGATAGAAAATAATATTTCTGAAATGTGTATGGAACCACAAAAGACCCTAAATAGCCACAGGAATCTTGAGCAAAAAGAACACACTGGAGGTATGGCACTACCTGACTTCAAAATATACTACAAAGTTATAGTAAGCAAACAGCATGGGTTAAAAAAAATCATAGTACTGAGATAAAAACAGACACATAGATCAGTGGAAGAGAATAAAGCCCCCAGAAATAAATTCACACATTTACAGTCAATAGATTTTTTAAAAATTTTTCTATTTCCATAGGGTATTGAAGAACAGGTGGCATTTGGTTACATGAGTAAGTTCTTTAGTGGTAATTTGTGATATTTTGGTGCACCCATCACCTAAGCAGTATACACTGAACCCAATTTGCCGTCTTTTATTCCTCATCCCCTTCCCACCCTTTCCCCTTGAGTCCCCAAAGTCCCTTGTGTCTTTCTTATGCCTTTGCATCCTCATGGCTTAGCTCCCACTTATGAGTGAGAACATGCGATGTTGGATTTTCCATTCCTGAGTTAGTTCACTTAGAATAATAGTCTCCAATCTCATCCAGGTTGCTGCAAATGCCATTAATTAACTTATTTTTATGGCTGAGTAGTATTCCATTATGTGTGTGTGTGTGTGTGTGTGTGTGTGTGTGTCTGTGTGTGTGTGTATTCATTATGTATATATATTCCATGGTATCTATAATATATATATATTTCATTATATATATATATTTTATTATATATATGTAAGTTCTTCTATATATATATAATAGAATGTATATATATACACACACACACCACAGTTTCTGTACCCACTCATTGACTGATGGGCATTTAAGTTGGTTCCCTGTTTTTACACAGTTGATTTCTGACAAAGGTGCCAAGAACACACAATGGGGAAAAGAACATTCTTTTCAACAAATGCTGTTGGGGAAACGGGATATTCACGTGCAGAAGAATAAATTAGACTCTTATTTCATACTATATACTAAAATCAACTCAAAATGGATTCAAGACTTGAATGGAAGTCTTGAAATTGTAAAACAACTAGAAGAAAACGTAGGGGAAAGCTCCACGACATTGGTCTGGGTAATGGTCCTTTGCAAACAAATTCGAAAGCACAGGCAACAAAAGTAAAAATAGACAAATGAGATTACATCAAACTAGGAAGCTTCTGCACAGCCAAGGAAACAATTAACAGAGTAAAGAGAAAATCTACAAAATGGGAGAAAATATTTGCAAACCATATATCTGATAAGTTTTGCTATTGTTTGAAATTCCCCTCTAAATCTCATATTGACATTTAATGGCCATTGTAACAGTATTAAGAGGTGGGACCTTTAAGAAATGATTTGCCCATAAGACCTCTGCCCTCATGAAGGGATGAATGTTGTTACTGAGGGAGTGACTTAGTTATCACAGGAGTGAGTTTCTGATAAAAAGGATGAGTTCGCCTTTCTTGCCCTTCTGTCATGGGATAACCCTCGCCAGTGCTAGAGCCATGCTCTTGGACTTCCCAGCCCCTAAAACCCTGAGCCAAATAAACTTCTACTGTTTATAAATTACCTAGTCTGTAGTATTCTGTTATAGCAGTAGAAAATGGGCTAAAATTGAGTTAATACCCAAAACGCATAAGGAAATCAAAAAAACTTAGCAGTAAGAAAATAAATAATCCAATTTAAAAATGGATAAAGAACATGAACAGACACTCTGGGCAACAGAGTGAGACTCCATCTCTAAATAAATAAGTAAATAAATTAAATTAAATTAAAGATGATTTGATCGGGCAGGAAATGACTTAAGCCTTAGCTCGGTGTGATTGAGAGCCACAGAGAGCAATCCCACAAACATGAACATATACAGTCAGGTGCTGCATAATGATGTTTTAGTCCTCAGTAGACCACATATATGACAGTGGTTCAATGAGATTATAATACTGAATGTTTACTGTATCTTTTCTATATTTAGATATGGTTTTGTTTGTTTGTTTGTTTGTTTTTTGAGACAGAGTCTCACTCTGTCACCCAGCTGAAGTGCAGTGGTATGATCATGGCTTACTGCAGCCCCAACCTTCCCAGTCTCAGGCAATGCTCCCACCTCAGCCTTCTGAGTAGGTGGGACTACAGGCATAAGCCACCACGCCCAACTAATTTTTGTATTTTTTTAAAAGGCAGAGTTTCACTATGTTGCCCAGGCTGGTCTCAAACTCCTGGGCTCCAGAGATCCTCCCACCTTGGCCTCCCAAAGTGCTGGGATTACAGGTGTGAACCACCATGCCTGGCCTTCTATGTTTAGATATGTCTAAATACACAAATACTTACTATTGTGTTACAGTTGCCTACAGTATTCAATACAGAAACATGCTGTACAGGTTTGTAGTCTAGAAGGAACAGATTGTACCATATAGTCTAGGTGTGTACAAGCTATACAATCTAGGTTCCTGTAAGTATACTCTGTGATGTACATCCTCAGTACATGTTTCTATCATTAGGTGACGCATAACTCCACATGGATAATCTTTTTTTAATTTTTTTTTTTAAGATGAAGTCTCCGAAGTCTCACTCTGTTGCCCAAGCTGGAGTGCAGTGATGCAGTCTCTGCTCACTGCAACCTCCGCCTCCGGGTTCAAGTGATTCTCCTGCCTCAGCCTCCCAAGTAGATGGGATTACAGGTGCCTGCCACCATGCCTGGCTAATTTTTTATTTTTAGTAGAGATGGGGTTTCACCATGTTGGCCAGGCTGGTCTCAAACTCCTGACCTCACGTGATCCACCCACCTTGACCTCCCAAAGTGCTGGGATTACAGGCCTGAGCCACTACACCTGGCCTTTTTAAATTAAAGACTAAAATAACTGGGGAAATAGGTGCTTAATTCTTTGTTAATGAGAATATAGGTTAGCACCACCGTTGACTGATGGGGTGAGAATTTGACTCCATCTTTTAAAACGTTTATTGCATGAACCTTGAAATCAACAATCCTCTTTCATGAAATCCCTACTGGTACACAAGATACTTGCATCATTATACACGAGACTGTTGACAAGAAAGTTTATTGTAACATTGTAATTATGAAAAATCGAAATCACCTAAGTGTCCATCAATTGAAGACTGGAGACTGGCTAAATAAATAGAATAAGAAATAAATAAGATAAACCATTAGAATGTAATTACGTCTGGGCAGTGCTACTTGAGAGTGAGATTTTTCCATTTTATTTTTCACTTCTGATTTCATTCATTGTGGCATGCTCTACTTTTGTAATTTTGATAAATCTCCAAGTATTCTTTAATCAAACACTTTATTAAGTCTCATGGTAAATATATCCTCAACTGATTCACTTTATTGAATGGAATAATGTTAATGAAATAAACAAAGTCTATGACAATTTTTTGCACATTTGGGGCACACAAAAAATATTCAGAGCTGTGCATGTTTGAGAAATGGCAACGTCAAGAGTACTTCCTGAATTTTCATTCTAAAACTAGAGCAGGATCATATCATAGAACCAGTGTCTGTCTTCTGCCAGTGGTTTATCAATAAATTCATTAAAATGCATAAAAATTACTAAAGATGGGCTGGGCACAGTGGCTCACACTTGTAATCCTAGCACTTTGGGATGCCAAAGTGGGCAGATCACCTGAGGTCAGGAGTTCGAGACCAGACTGACCAACATGGAGAAACCCTGTTTCTACTAAAAATACAAAATTAGCCAAGTGTGGTGGTGCATGCCTGTAATTGCAGCTACTTAGGAGGCTGAAGCAGGAGAATCACTTGAACCCAGAAGGCAGAGGTTGTGGTGAGCTGAGATCATGCCATTGCACTCCAGCCTGGGCAACAAGAGTGAGGCTCTGTCTCAAAAAAAAAAAAAATTACTAAATATGTGTCAAGTCGGCAACAAAATCAGTGTTCTTGGACCAGACCCAGTCAGTGCTCTGCCAGAACCCCTTGGATTCCTCTGACCATGTCTCGTGTCTTATGCCCACTTTAGGGGGCTTTTGCATCTACTACCATGCACGGGTGAAGTTTTATAGGAAGACAACTGCTGGAGGCTGCTGGAGCAAATTTGCCTGGATACCCAGTAAGTCAGATTGCTAAGAGGTTATATCTCTGGAGGGGAGGGGGCTTTGGTCTCTGACTTGCAAATGCAGGAGTATGAAATTCAAGCTCTCTTGCCTCAAGTCAGATCCAACTCTGAGGTATGACTTGCACTCCAGAGTCTCCTGCAGGATTAAGCAGGAGGAACTGTGGAACTGCGTCTAAAATCCCACTTTTGCTTGATGATATAGTCTGGATATTTGCCTCCTCCAAATTGCATGTTGAAATGTAATCCCCAGGCTGGGTGCTGTGGCTCACATCTGTAATCCCAGCACTTCGGGAGGCTGAGGTGGGCAGATCACTTGTGGTCGGGAGGTTGAGACCAGCCTGGCCAACATGGTAAAACCTCATCTCTACTAAAAATACAAAAATTAGCCGGGTGTGGTGGCAGGCACCTGTAATCCTAGCTACATGGGAGGCTGAGACAGAAGAATCACTTGAACCCGGAAGGTGGAGGTTGGAGTGAGCTGAGATCATGCCACTGCACTCCAGCCTGGGTGACAGAGCGAGAAACCAGAAGTAAGAAGAAAGAAAAAGAGAAAGAGAAAGAAAGGAGGAAGGAAGGAAGGAAGGAAGGAAGGAAGGAAGGAAGGAAGGAAGGAAGGAAGGAAGGAAGGAAGGAAGGAAGGAAGGGGAGGGAGGGAGGAAGGGAAAAGAAAAGAAAAAAGAAATGTGATCCCCAGGGTTGGAGATGGGCTGCGCTGGAGGGTGTTTGGGTCATGGGAGCAGATCCATCATGAATGGCTTGATGCTGTCTTCATGGTAATGAGCGACTTCTTGCTCTGTTAGTTCCTACAAGATCTGATTGTTAAGAGAACCTGGTATCTTCCTCCTTTCTCTCTTCACTCCTTCCTCTCACCGTGTGATGCCTGCGCCCCTTCACTTTTCCCCATGAGTAGAAGCTCCCTGAAGCCCTCACCAGAAGCAGATGCTGGCGCCATGTTTCTTGTATAGCCTGCAGAAACATGAGCCAAATAAACTTGTTTTCTTTTTCTTTATACATTATCCAGCCTTGGGTTTTTCTTTATACAACACAAATTGACTAAGATGCTTGGCTTCTTGTTTTTCCTTTATGGGTTTCTCCTGTAAATGCTTCCTTAATAAATCAACTGTGGCCAGGTGCAGTGGCTCACTCTTGCAATCCCAGCACTTTGGGAGGCTGAGGCAGGTGGATCACCTGAGGTCAGGAGTTTGAGCCTGGCCAACATGGTGAAAACCCATCTCTACTAACAGCACAAAAAAATTAGCTGGGCATGATGGCACACACCTGTAATCCCAGCTACTTGGGAGGCTGAGGCAGGAGAATCACTTGAACCCAGGAGGTGGAGGTTGCAGTGAGCCAAGATCATGCCACGGCACTCTAGCCTGGGCAACAAGAACAAAACTCCCCCTCAAAAAAAAAAAAAAAAAAAAAAGAATCAACTGCATGTAAATCCTCATATCTGGCCTTCTTCTGAAGAACTTCATTTTAGGATGGAGTCCAGCTCTCTCACCCACGCTGGAGTGCAGTGACACAATCTCAGCTCACTGCAGTCTCCACCTCCCAGGCCCAAGCAATCCTCCTGCCTCAGCCTCCTGAGTAGCTGGGACTGCAAGCATCATACACCACCACATCCAACTAATTTTTGTATTTTTTGTTGAGACAGGGTTTCACCATGTTGCCCAGCCTGGTCTCGAACTTCTGGACTCAAGTGATCTGCCCACCTCAGCCTGCCAACATGCCGAGATTACAGGATTGAGCCACTGCACCCAGCCACAGGCAATTATTCTCATAAGCTAAAACTAGAAACAAAAAGTACAAAGATCATTGATCCAAGACCAGCTGTGGAAAGGTCTAGCTCCACATTTTCACAAAACAGAAAGATTCCAATCATAGCTGATATAATGACAGTTTCTAACAACTTGAACTATAATATTTACTACTCAGACTCTGTAACCTACTAAAGATTCTGTTTATTGAAACATATATTACCTTCTCTTGCTCACATGTATAAGGCCAGTAGGTTTTATTTGAGAAATTAATTAAGTTCTCCTAGCTACAGTTTTCCTTGGAATTAACACCTGGAATGAAAATCAATGAAGACTAGGTGGATTCTTTTATTTCTTGCCTCTATCTGCCCATGTTAAGAATAGAATTGCTATTGTCTTCGATCCAAAATCATTCTGCAAGTCTAGAGGGACGTATCTTATTCTTTTTTGGGACCTCTTGTTCTGGGGATTACATGAGGTAAGTACAGAACATAGCCAAGGGGTGTGTGTCTCATAGAAGACACAATTAGCCACCTTTCTTCGTTATGCAGTTGTGGCTTATGAGGGGGCTCTAATTCTGTGATTTTCAAAGCGTCATCTTACATCAGAATCATCTGGAGTGCTTGCTAAATAAAGATTCCTGGACTCCATCCTTGTAAGTCAGAGTTTCTGGGAAAGACTCAGAAATCAGGGTCTTTTAAAAATGCCCTATGTTTATTTTTTTAACTTTTCTTTTTTTGAGATAGTGTCTTGCTCTGTCACCTAGGCTGGAGTGCAGTGGTATGATCTCGGCTCACTGCAACCTCCGCTTCCCAGGTTCAAGTGATTCTCCTGCTTCAGCCTCCTGAGTAGCTGGGACTACAGGCGTGTTCCACCAGGTATGGCTAATTTTCTTGTGCATTTTTAGTAAAGAAGGGGTTTCACCATGTTGGCACAGCTGGTCTCGAACTGCTGGCCTCAAGTGATCTGCCCACCTCAGCCTCTCTAAGTGTTGGGATTACAGGTGTGAGCCACCACGCTCATTCCTCTGTTTAAATTTTATGAATTCTAAAGTTTAAAAATCACCATATCTGATCCAGTGAACCAGGGTGTTCTTGAGAGTAGTGTGTTAATACAAGCCATTTTGTTCTAAGATGACAGAAACTCAAGTGAAATTAACTTCAGCTAAAAAAAGAAAAAAAAAGGCAGGAAGATTTATTAGTTCATAAAACTGAAAGCTCAAGGTCAGGTGTAGACCTGGCTAGATCCAGGGAATCAAATGCTGCCTTGAGGATTGTCTCTCCCCTCCCTCTCCTGGCTCTGTTATCATGATGAAGCCCAGCTGGTTCCATCCATGGGCTCTCCCCATGATGAAATAACAGTCCCCAGCAGCTCTGTTACTGCCTTGTCTTTACACTCATTATCTTCAAAGATTGGACATATCTTTTTCCGGGTAATATCAGCAGAAGTCTCTGAGAGATATATGATTGGTCCAGGTTGGGTCACACCCCCATCTTTGAGCCAATCAGTAGGCAAAAGGCTACAGCTCTCTGACAGGTAAGACCTGACCCATGTGTTCATGCCTGTGGTTGAGAAATTGGTGCTGACTCCACCTAAATCAGAAAAATGAATTTCCCCACAAAATAAGTATCCCGTTGCCAGCAGAAGAAGGGAAAACTGTTTTTAAACAGATGCCAAGTAGACAAGAGAACATGATGTTCAGTAGAACCAGAATGCTCTTTTTTAAAAGCCCTATAAGTGATTCTGTTGATCATCACATTGAGAGGACCAAATTCTGGTGGGTCTCCTGGGTCAGCAAGAAATTACCTCTCTGTAATCCCAGTACTTTGGGAGGCCAAGGCAGGCAGATCACCTGTGGTCAGGAGTTCAAGACCAGCCTGGCGAACATGGTGAACCCCGTCTCTACTAAAAATACAAAAATTAGCCAGGCATGGTGATGGGTAACTGTAGTTCCAGCTACTCAGGAGGCTAAGACAGGAGAATCCCTTGAACCCAGGAGGCGGAGGTTGCAGTGAACCAAGATTGCACCACTGCACTTCAGCCTGAGTGACAAAGTAAGACTGTCTCAAAGAAAGAAAGAGAGAAAGAGAGGGGCGGGGGGAGGGAGGTAGGGAGGGAGGGAGGGAGGAAGAGACGGAGGGAGTGAGAGGGAGGGAGGGAAGGAGGGAAGGAAAGAAGGGAGGGAGGGAGGGAGGAAGAACCTCTTACTCCTATGTAGTGAGAGAATGTCATGTATGTCTGTTTTGCCATTCAGTACTAAGATAACCAGGCTTGTGAATATGTGCCTGTGTGAGTGTCTAATTTTAAGGTGGTAGCCTTTTCTCCCTGGCAGCGAACAAGAGTGATTGTGGTAAGTCCCAGGGATGCATTTATCTTAAAGTGACTCAGAAAGTCTCATAACCATTGATTTGTCCTCACTGGAAAGTTCAAGTCTCGCCTCTTCTGTCTAGGGAGAAGTAACAATGACAGACTAGAATGATAGGCTGGGTACCTCTAGTTCAGCTGAGGGTTAACCTTCCGCAAACCATTGTAGCCAGAGAATGCAAGCCTAGATTGTCACCACTTAACAGATAGCAAAGAGGTTGGCCTTAGAAGGAACTTTGGAAAAAATGTGTCTGCTTATCCTACAGGGAGACATCAGGTTAGCGTAACATCCACCAAGCAGATGTGCTGACAGGGCCAGGGGCCAAATGGCAGACTTATTGAAAAGAGAACAACCAATTGTAACACAGGTGATTTCTTTTTGTTGTTGTTGTTTGAGACTGAGTCTCTTTCTGTCGCCCAGGCAGGAGTGCAGTGGCGCAATCTCATCTCACTGCAATCTCTGCCTCCCAAGTTCAAGTGATTTTCCTGCCTCAGCCTCCCAAGTAGCTGGGATTACAGGTGTATGCCACCATGTCTGGCTAATTTTTGTATTTTTAGTAGAAACGGGGTTTCACCATGTTGGCCAGACTGGTCTCGAACTCCTGACCTTAGGTGATCCACCCATCTCAGCCTCCCAAAGTGCTGGGATTACAGGCATGAGCCACTGCACCTGGCCACAGATGATTTCTTGATGAAAAGGTATTGTACTTCAGTTAGTATGGTTGGATTTTTCCCTTGATGTTTGTCAAAAGAGGAGAATCTTTTTCTCAAACTGCAAAAAAGAAAACTCTAGTCCATCTATAAGTACTTATTTATATCAACGCTAGAAGCATGAGGAAGAAGAAAAGTTCATGAAATGAGTCCAGTGTCTTCCTGAACAACTAGCTTGCCCAGAATGGTAATGCTCCTACTGCTGAAAAAAAAAAAATTGAGGCAAGACCCATAAGGACTTGGAGTCTAATTTTAAAAGTACATCAAGATGTTGGGAGAAGATGTGGGAAAAGTTGCTGACAGAAGGTCCTGGTTGTGTCTTTTGTGGCCAGTTTTCTTGTATCAGCATGTCATATGCAAAGACAAAACATCATCTCATTTTAATAGCACACTTAACTGCCTATGTATACACAGGAGATCGTGATGTTTGCCAATTAAAAAACTGAATCTCAAGTGCCAGTAGAGCAAGCCAGTTTTTTTTTAGACCAGGCAGCTAGAAGAAACCTGTGGTTCTCTTAAACTGTATCTGACGGTCAAGCGCAGTGGCGCAAGCCTGTAATCCCAGCACTTTGGGAGGCCAAGGTGGGCAGATCACGAGGTCAAGAGATCGAGACCATCCTGGTCAACATGGTGAAACCCCGTCTCTACTAAAAATACAAAAAAAAAGTTAGCTGGGCACGGTGGTGCATGCCTGTAATCCCAGCTACTTAGGAGGCTGAGGCAGGAGAATTGCCTGAACCCAGGAGGCAGAGGCTGCGGTGAGCCAAGATCGCGCCATTGCACTCCAGCCTGGGTAACAAGAGTGAAACTCCACCTCAAAAATAAATAAATACATACATACATACATACATACAAACAGTATCTGAAGCATTAAAAGAGTATAGAGGCTGGGTGCAGTGGCTCACACCTGTAATCCCAGTGTTGTGGGAGGCTGAGGCAGGTGAATCACAAGATCAGGAGTTCAAGAGCAGCCTGGCCAACATATTGAAACCCCATCTCTACTAAAAACAAAAATTAGCTGAGTGTGGTGGTGTGTGCCTGTAGTCCCAGTTGCTTGGGAGGCTGAGGCAGGAGAATCACTTGAACCTGGGAGCCAGAGGTTGTGGTGAGCTGAGATGGTGCCACTGCACTCCAGCCTGGGCAAGAGAGCGAGACTCCACCTTAAAAAAAAAAACAAGTGTCAAAATAAGGGTCACCATGGTCCAGGTGCAGTGACTCATGCCTGTAATTCCAGCTCTTTGGGAGGACAAGGCAGAAGGATTGCTTGAGTCCAGGAGTTCAAGACCAGTCTGAGAAACATGGAGAAACCCTGTCTCTAAAAATAATACAAAACTTTGTCGGGTGTGGTGGGTCACACCTGTAAGTCCCAGCTCCCTGAAAGGCTAAGGTGGAGACAGAGGTTGCAGTGAACCATGATTGCACCACTGTACTCCAGCCCGGGTGACAGAGGAAGACCCTGTCTCAAAAAGCAAGCAAACAAACAAAACACAATGATGTGGATATCGAAACCATATTTGGGGGAGGGAGTGTGACGGAGAAAGACATTTCAAACAGAACAACTCAGCGATTTACTGGAAAATGCTCCTCCCCACACACTTCATCCACCTGGCAGCAAACTGGACTATTTAGGGGTAGTTTTGTGGATTTCATCTTGTGGATTTGTGGATTTCATATTCCCCAGATGGGATTACTTCTCCGACTCATTTTGTTTGCCTTTGTTGCTTTTAAAGTGGCCTAGTCTGTATAAGAATGTACTTCTCTCTTAGGAATAGAATTAGATATTCTTTTAATCATTTATTTTTAAAGTATCTATCACGGAGTCTGCTATGTACTATGCACTGTATTAAGCCCTAAAAATACAGCAATGTAAAAAAAAAAAAAAAGACAAAAAATCCTATTCTCACAGAGCTTATGTTCTAGAACTCAACTGCCCAAGATGGTACCCATGAGTCACATGAGCTACTGAGAATCTGAAAAGTGGCTGGTCCAAATTAAAATGTGCTATCAATGTAAGAAACACACAGGATTTCAAAGGCCTATTGCTGGAAAAAGAATGGCAAAGCATGCCAATTTTTTAAGATTGATTACATATTGAAAGGATAATATTTTGGACATTACTGAGTCAAGTAAAATATGTTATTAAAGTTCATTTTGACTGGGAGCAGTGGCTCATGCCTGTAATCCCAACAGTTTGGGAGGCTCAGGCAGGCGGATCACTTGAGGTCAGGAGTTCGAGACCAGCCTGGCCGACATGGTGAAACCCCATCTCTACTAAAAATACAAAAATTATCCGGGCATAGTGGTGGGCTCCTGTAGTCTCAGCTACTCAGGAGACTGAGGCAGGAGAACCGCTTGAACCCAGGAGGCAGAGGTTGCAGTGAGCCAAGATTGTGCCACTGTACTCCAGCCTGGGC